GCCTCTCTGGATGGCGGTCACAGCAAGGAAATGGCAGTGTTTGCAGCTCCTGCCATAAGAAACGAAAACTGGTATCACTTTCTGCTGCTACTGGCTCATGTTGGAAATAAGCCTGCTGGTTTTGACCAGGCCTCACAATATTCCATATCAGACCAATATTCCAAACACAGATACCTCATAAGGAAAAGCATATTCCTGCCTTTGCAAAAGAGATTTTAGATAAAAGCTCTGTGGGTGATTGTACAAAGCCTCTTCCTATGGGCCTTGCATATCAAAGACAATTGAGCTTGGCCCCAAGACAAAGAGCCTAATATAGACTTAAGGAACAAATGGGGGCAGAACTTAACACTTACACCTTCTTCTAACTGGTGATGTATGGCAGTCCCTTCCCCAAGGCCTACATCCCACAAACACCCTCCCTTACTGGCAGCTAGGATGAGAATAGATAAGAGTAGCTAACACAAAACCCAAAAGCAAAAGGCTAACACATTTAGGGCCCCCGTGGTGTTCACACATTCAGCATCAAATAGGTTTCCACAAACAAACCAGTTCAAAAACATTCATCCTCTTAAGAACCAAACGGAATGACTCCTGGCCTAACTATTTACGACTTAACATATGCTACCCTACTTTTTACTAAGAACATCCTGTTGTTTCTTTAGTTGTAATATTCACTCAACTATGACTGGGATAATTCTGCAATTTATCACAAAAGGCTTCCCATTGTAAAAATTCCTTTCTCTGACCCCATGTTGCTTTTGAACCTTTAAATAAAGACACCAAAACCGACAGGTCAGAGATGCCTGCCTGGTGATCAGAAAGAATCTTGGGGCGTCAGAGCCGGCCTCCGACAGCATGGTTATTGTATTCCTCTTTTAAAACCAGGTAGGATTAAGTAAGCATTAAAGGGGCTCCTCTATATTCCAGCTAATCATGCCTGGGTTGGACTCCCTGTTTGAGTACGAGCTCCTTGGGGTAGAAACTCTATTATATTAATCAGCCACCCTGCCCAGTCACCCTGCCTGCCCTACTTTGAAGCAGAAGAATGTGCTCAAAGTTATATTTTCAGAATGAATCAAAAGTCAGGAAACTTTGGCTTTACTAAATATTTTCATTTAAAAAAAATTCTAACTCTGATAAACTGTAGTACTCTAATGGAAAGATAGTATGCCTCTAAATTCAGTTATATGTAAATTTAAGTAGTGTTTTGTTAAAGATACCCAGAAAAGTCCCCATCGAGAAGTGTGGCTGTTTTGTGGGAAGCAGATAGATGGGGCTTTCAGATAGAACTTATGACATGGGTCATGGGTGAAATGATTTGGCCTGGGAGGAAAGCAAAATGTTAAAATACACACACACACACACACACACACACACACACACACACACACACACACACGATAGTCTCCCCAGTAGGTTTGAAAAAGCAATATCCCCACAGATTTTTCAGCTTGTAAAATATCTTGCCTAATTAGGTAGAGTGTTTCTGTGAAGAGTGCCCCTGGCGCTCTGATTGGAGAATTGAGCTGACCTGGGCCCCAGGGACCAGGCCCAGAACTGAAAAACCTGGAGCAGAGTTGGCCTGGGGTCTCCAATGTCGCTAGTGCTGCTCCCTTCGACTCATCTGGGTCTGAGGTTGACACACTGAGGCACAACCAGGAGGAGGGGCTAGAGAGGAGGGAGGAGGAACCCCTCTTCTCTGTGAATAGCCAGGTCAAAGCTATTTAACTCAGGTCTGAACCATGGCAAAATTCCAGAGGGCTCTCAATTTCTGCTTTGGAGTTTTATTTGTAACTAAGTCAGAAATGATGAGGGAAACAAAGGGAAGAAAAATGCAGTTTAAATTAAATCTCCTTATGAAGAGCCTAAAATTAAGTCCTCCATTAAGAGCAACCTCGGGCTGCACGTAGCCCCATTCCCAGGTCCAGGAAAAGCCTCAGACTGTTCAAGGCTAAAGCCATCCTCAGACCGCCCTCAGATCAGCTAATCAAAAAAACATTCCTATGGTCTGAATCAAGGCTGGGAACTGCAGATACAAACTAGCCAATTTCTCACCGCTTGCCTGAACCCCATGTGGGCCCTTTGAACTCACAATTGGTCATTTTCAAAGGATTCTCAAAAGTCATGATTGGGTCCCACCGAAAGTAATGAACACCTCACAGATACTGAATGGTCAAAGCTGTAATTGTAATTGGTGCTTATGTGATGATGCCAAATGTACTGTAACACCCCCATCCCTTACTCCTTAAGAACCCTGTTCGCTATTGTTCTTGGCTTCACCTTGCTGCCATGACACCGGTAGGCGGGTGAGCCCCTGCTCGAGCTTGTAATAAAGACCCTTTTGTATTTGCATCGGTGCCGGCTTCTTGGAGGTCTCTGGGACTCGCGATTTGGGCACAACACTTACAGCGTGCAGCCCGCTGGTAGATATCAGACAATGCAGCATGTAACATTCCTCAAGAATTTTATGGCGGCCTTAATGCCTTAACACTTAACATTTCATTAAAAACTAAAAGCAACCTCATCTTCACAAAAGCTAAATCTTCAGGGTCCTGTAAGACCCTGCTTTCAGCAGACAGAAATTTCTGAGAAACTGTTTCCCTTTATCCCTCCTCCCTCCACAAACTTAAAAGTATATAAACAATCACTCCTCACAATCCCTGTGTGTAGCTCTTTCTGTCCGGGTGTCCTGTCCCTGTGCTATAATAAAACCACCTTTTTGTACCAAAAAGCATCTCAAAAATTCTTTCTTCGCTGTTTGCTCACGAACCCCACTTTAAATTTTATTAAGAAATCCAAGCTTCTCTTAAGAGGTCCTGCTGATCTCTTGGCTAAAGAGGAATGGGACATCTTGATGGACGAGTCATCTACATGCCAAGTAGAAGGGAGGAGGTCATTACTAGAAGAATGAATACTTGTCAGAAGAATCATCAGATGCCACCCACATGGATGTTTGTTAAAGTGCAGGTTGAACATCAGAATTCTGTGGAATGTCAGATGCAGCAATATCAATAGTCTGTGTTGGATTGACAGACCTGGAGCAGTCATAGTGCTATTCATATAACTCTGTTATGGAGGCTTTCGATGGTCTCCCAGGGTTCTCTCAGCCTCTGACATTTCACTCTAGCAAGAGCTTGGGACAGTGGATACTTACTGATGAGGTTTTTGGGGTGACACTGAGGTTCGCGGCGTCTGGAGCCAATGACCAAAAAAGAAGTCTTGAAGATGTTTTTGGTGCAAAAAGGTGATCTTATTAAAGCAAGGGGACAGGACCCATCAAAAAGAGCTGCCCTGAGATCTTCAAGAGAGACTGTTTATATACTATGGAGTTGGGGGAGGTAAAATCCAGGGGAAGTTCACAAGGAGATTTTCATATGCTAAAGAAGACTCACAGGATACTGGAAGCCTAGCTATTGTCAAGCTAAGGTTGTTTTTCCCTCTAGCAGAATATTAGCATTAAGACAGTAGGGAGTTCCTGAAGAAATGTTTTACTCTGCCAGCCTCAAGTATTTGTCAATGGGCTGCAGGATATAAGGAAATTTAGTTCTGCCATTTCCTTCTGTCTGTGTTTCCCACATCATTATGGAGGGGTGAGGGTGGGGCTCCAGGATATAGAGTCTAGGTTTTTGGAGATTAGGCTATTGATAAGATTGCCTTTTTCTTGTGACTTACTAAGATATTTGTAAATAGATGGAGACTCAGGTCCTGAAGGACAAGGATCTCTCTCAGTTAGCCATTAGTTTCCCTTTTCCTTTGTTCTTGGCCAGCAGGACTGCCTGAGGAATAGCACACAAATCCCCCTTGGGGAGGGGCTGTCAGCTTGCCGTGTGCTCCCTCAGCACTTACATGTATTATAATTTGTGCAATTTCAATCTGCTTAATGTGTCAAGGGTAACAGCACACCCTCTATTTTTAATACCTCTACCCTGAAGCAGGGAGCTTCATGTGTCAGTGTCATACAATCATTGCCCAACACATATGAATCATTTCTCTTATGATTTCCACTCAGGAATACCTCAATTCCAAGGCCCTTGGAATATCTATTTCCCCTAGAGAGATTTTTCTAAGACTATCTAACACTTACTATGTAAGTTACTGGGTTTTTTTCTAGCTTTGTTTTATTTTGTTTTTTGAGAGCCCTGTATATGCGTGTGTGCACGTGCACGCATGAGCAGGGAAGGGGCAGAGAAAGAGGAAGAGAGAATCATAAGCAATCTAGGCCTAGCACAGAGCCCTACAACACTGGGCTCAATCTCAAGATCCTGAGATCATGACCTGAGCTGGAATCAAGAGTCATATACTTAACCGATGGAATCACTCAGGCATCCCTGTAGGTTACTGCTTTAATGTTTTCCTCATTTCATTAATCCTCACAACACTTATAGGTTGGAATTACTATTATATTTTTGCATGAACAAAACGAGGCATCATAAAGGTTCAGTAATGTGCCCAAGGTATCATAGCTAACAAGTAGTAAAACTAGGGCATAAACCCAGCAAACTGATTAATTCAAAACTTATGCTCAGAACCATGAAAATATAGGGTCTATTCTCAATGATATAATTTGAGGTATGTGAGGGGAACATTTGCTTTAAGAGTTAGAACCCAAGAGCAGCGTCTGGGTGGCTAAGTCAGTTAAGCATCTGAGTCTTGATTTCAGCTCAGGTCATGATCTCACGGTTTGTGGTTTCAAGCTCCTGTCAGGCTCTGTGCTGACAGTGCTGAGTCTGCTTGGGGTCCTTTCTCTCCCTCCCTTTCTGCCCCTCCCCAGCTCTGCTTTCTCTCTCTCTCAGAATAAATAAGTAAACCAACAAACAGAAAAAGAACAAGAACCTGAGATTTCAAGATTTTAAGGTTCTTCTATAAACCTTAGAGTAACCTATTTTATAAATATATTTTAAGTTCTGTAAAATAGCATGTTACTTTGTGAAAGTAATGTGGTAATATCCCTAAACCTGAAGGCAAACAAAATAGAGTTAATCCAGCAAACACTGGAAAGATGGTTTGTTCATTTTTTAATTGAAAATATTTACATGAAGATATATTCTTTCACTTATACTTTGCAAGAGGACAGTTCATATGGATAAAAATTAAAATGAGATTTCTCATATTTGTATTCCAAATTATTATGAATAATGTGCATTTATTTGCATAAATTCCTTTGGATATATTAAATACTGCATCATTTACAAATAAGAAAACTGAAGATCCCATAAATTCCTCTGATGATACCTAAAAGTGTTGTTTGATAAATATGGCACTATTTCAAACCGGAAACAGAACCAAGTATGGTCTATCATCTCAGCAGGAAAATTCAGTTTCTCCAAGACATAGGTCTTCTTATTGAACCTGCAAGATTTAAAATAGTAATTGTAAGGTTTGCATTTGGCAAGTAAACCAATCAATCCGTTAACCAATCCATTAAGAATTATTAGGTATGTGGATATTCATGTTAAAGAACCACTGAGGTTGGAAGGTTGTTTTGACCTTTTATGTCACTGCTCAAGGTCATCTCTACTTCACGTTATCTTTTCTTCCTTATGTGCTTCCAAGGTCTAAATACTAAGCACTCCCTATCTCAGACTGAAACTTCATTATCTAACATTTCTCATTACCCCACAACCACCAAAGCAGCTCTCAGACAGATCTTCAGTCACTAAATCCCTTCCCATTCACAGCCAAGTAGGTTGCACACATGACTTCCTGCCTGACCTAGACTTCAAGGCAGCCCCTCAACTTCCAGTTTCCCAACACCAGATCATGCCTACTGCCTGCTTCCCTAAGCATGCTCTCAGATTATATAACAAAGTCACTGGACAGCAGTGTACCTAGTCTGACCGTTGTGGATAGCTTGGAAATCAGTGGGAATTGCCACTCTCTTGATTTAGCTGGGAGGAATGGGACTGAAGAAAGGCAAACTATCTGGTCAGCCTTGCAGCAATCCAGTTTCACATGGACATATCATCACAATCTTAAATTAATGAAGAAGACTCTGATCATATTTGTCTTGTTCTGGCTGGATTTCAAATTCAGGAAACTTAATTAGAATGGAAATTATTTTCTCTTGAGAGATTATACTCCGAAATATTTCAAGTGACATTTGATGGATGTACTTCTGATTTATTTCGATAGGCTCCATCAAGAAATCTTGTGATGTAGAACACTATGTCTAGACCTTTTTATTTACACCAGGATATTCTAGTATGCTACATCTGTTGGGGTCAAAGAAATCTTGAAATCTGAGTTGATCTGATGTCATGCAGTCTGCATTAGCTTTACAATTCCAAAATGGAAACTAGTATCTATATATCAACATAACTTATTTGAATATTTTATGAAGACTTTATCCCCTGTATTAGAGAATACTTTTAAAGCAAACAAATGACTGTATTGGAATGATCTAATCTTTATTTAAAACAGAATAAAACTTTAGATTGATTGTGATTTCCACTGGCATTTTCCAAAGGAACTTTCATTGGAATAAATGTCCCAGCATTCCAGCCTCCTCACTACCACCTTTGAAACATCTACTGATTCTGATTTTACCTCTATATTTCTTATAATTCCTTATTTCTTTCAACATCAGTATTTCCTTCTTCCATGCTTTACATTATTCCAAAATGAGTTTCAGTTTCCTTCTCTGTTGTTGATGATACTGGGATCCATTTATGCCACAGTCACTATCATCTTTCTCCCCTAAGTCCACTGAAGACCCTGATCAAACTACTTCTGCAGCTTTTGCAAACTACAAATTTCTTGCTTCTACTGATACTGACAATGAATTATCTACCCCTTGAAACACTATATTCCCTGTGATTAACATGTAAGAAGTGTTTAATATGAGTTAATTAAGTAACTGAATGAATAAAAAAATCAGACTTGTTCATTTCAGCTATTTTCTGGTCCCCTATCTGTCACTGCAGTGGTCTCTTCTCTCCTTGATTACTTTTCCTGCTATTATGTTTGGTTTCTGCTGCCTCAAAGTACTCATGGTAGGTCCTCATTATTATTACTATCTTCAGTGCACTTTCTGACTGTATCAGTATTCTTTCTCTCTCATTTCTATCAATTCCTGGCCACAACTGGCAATCCTGTTGAGATTGAAATTCGGCTGTGATTTCCTTAGATCTGTCTGTCTCCGATCTCTAGAAAAGTACACCTACATGGCATTTACATACAGTAGATCGCTGGTGATCTGAGCAAAACTTGTCCCAGAAAAGTAAGGACATCAATGTTCAGGAAAGTCTTAGAATTGGAGAAATTAAAGGTGGGGAGTTAAAACCACTCAAAGAAAGTTAGCTGTAAAAGAAAAGAAAATAAGAGTGCAACTAAAAGAGAAAATGAGTATGACAAAAGGCTTTTTTAATACAATACATTCAAGGAAAGTTATAAGCTATGAAGAAAGAACCAGAGAAAGGAAGATATTAAAAGCACTGAAGGTAGAGGTATGGCCTTGAAAGCATGTTCTTGGAGGATATGTAAAGATGAGTGGTAAAGTACAAGGGGAAGTATTCGCTGAAAACAAAAGGTAATTTCTTTTATTGAGGCAAGTGGAAAGGAATAAGAATGAGTATGGGTAACTGAAGAGAAAGAGATACGAATCCTCAATTTTCACTTTAAATAGGAATAAAGGTCATCTGCTGAAACAGAAGACCTGAGGAGAGGATAGAGACAAAGAATCATCAACAGCCTTAAGTTTTTTCGTTTTTTTTAATGAGATTATCCAAATGTTCTGGATACAGTAAAATATAAACTCTCAAATCACTGGCAGCATTGTAAATTGGCAAAATGCTTTTGGACATCAATTTGACCTCAAAAATATGTGTATGTTGAGATCTATTAACTTCACTTCTAATAAAATAATTCAAAACACAGTTTATGTACAAAAATGTTCACTGAAAAATTACTCATTATAGGGATAAAAACTGGAAACAATCTAATTGTCCAATGATAGAGATGTAGCTCTATAAGCAAATGAATCATAATTAATTATAAATAAATAAATAAAATTAATTCTTAATTAAATAATTAGTTATGGTATGTCCACACAGAAATCTATGCAGACATTTAAGTAATATTTATCAAGAGTTTTTAATTTCATTGAGAATTTAGTTTATGAAAAATAAATCCAGTGACTTATACGTTAATTAAGTATGCCATAGACTAAATATAAAAAGAACATGAATAAAGATAGCAATATGTAGAATTATTCTTACATTTTTGTTAATACTTTCTAGTATTTTCTAAGTTTTCTACAGAGATGTATATTATCTTCATCATCAGAAAATATTTATCATTTTAAAATCTTTAGTAAATTTTTAAGAATAGTGTGGAGAGGAGAAACAAGAGGAATAGTTGCTAAGTGAAAATAAAAAATGAAGATAAAGTGGGCAAAATAAATTGCAGACTCCTGGAATTCAGCTAATTAATGATACTGGACATTCTCTGAGTCAGCATTGCAGAAGGACAAAATGAAGATTGCAAATTTGGGCCTCAGATATGTTAAACATTTAAAAATTGCATGATTTAAGACAAAAGATATGCATTTCTGGTTCTTCTTGAAAAAAAAAATGGAAGTCAGTGAACACTGCTCTTTCATGTTTATACAGTAAAAGGCCCCTGCTATGTGACTATAGTTATCCACAATCCTTACCATTATACTCCACTGTTTTCCTGACAGTGAGATTGAATGTCAGTTGCCTTTTGTTCATTACCCTTGCTTTCTTATAATGTATATATTTTTTACAGTAAATAAGTGTTTACAGAACATAAATATTTTTCTGTCTAGTGAAACTAGAATCAAATAGATGCAGTACCTGTGGAACATCCAGCTAGGAGATAAAGGGGATGATTTAATATTCGGATTCAATCTTTACTTTCAGGGGATTAGACACAGATAAATAAAACAGGATAAGAATATGTGATAGCAACCTCATGACAATATAAAAAAAAAGTTACATATGGCAGAAAAGAAAGAGCTTTCTATAGGCTAGAGTAGTGCTTTGTGAAATAAGGGAAATTGAACCATGTGCAATTGGGTAAGAATCCTTAAGGGGAGGGGTATAGCAAAAATAAGACACGGGAAAGACACTTTCTCAGGGACAGGGGAGTTAGTGTTATGGCGAGAGTTCATTTTGGGGAAGAGTGATGAAAAAGTTCATATAAGAAAAGTGGGTTAAGGAAATTAGTATCTTGAAATTCAGGAAGAAGAATTTGGAACTTTATTCTTTGAGGAAGCTATTTGTGCTCTTGAACACAAGAAGTCAAGGTTTAGAGAAGTTTAATTTGGAAGAAAAGTGATTTGAAAGAAGAGATTAGAGAAAGATGAGAATTAAGTGTAACAATCTATATTTATTCACAGTCAACAAGTTCTTATAGAGCACTTGTTATGAGTTCTTTGTTAAGCACTGGGGATACACAATAGTCAAATTCCTTGACCTCAAAGATATATTCAAACGGACATAGAGGGCGAACATGTATATAAGTAGGTATAGCAGTGCAACAGAATAAAAGGACTTGTGTGCACAGGATCCTACTGGAGTTAATGTGATCAGAGACAACCTCTCTGAGAAACACCACTGATTTGAGTCTTCAGTGATGACCATGAGACAGTAAGTGAGAATATAAGAGTTAGAAGAAATAACAAGCACAAAGGTCCCAAGAGGAAATGAACATGGTGTGTTAAAGGGACCGAAAAAAAAAAAAATTAAACGAAAAAAACCCCAAGGCTGCATAAATGTACAGTAATTACATTAGGAGATATGCTCAGAGAGATAAGCAGGAAGCAGATCATGTAGGGACTTGCGGCCATGGTAAGGACTAGAACACTCTTCTCACTGACCTGTGAAGCCACTGAAGAGCTTAAGCAGCGGAATGATTCAACAGGACTTACTCTTTGCAAAGACTACTTTGGTTATATGAAGAAGGGACATGAGAGGACAAGAACGGACTTAGGAGACCCATAAAAACAGGCAATAGAACAAAAGAGAAGTAAAAGTGACTTAGGTCAGGGTTTATTAGTACAGGCGGTTTCAAGTTGTCAGGCTTGAATATATTTGGAAGAAGTACTCACGGGACTTATTAATACATTGGATATGGAATGTAAGAAGAAAGGGAAATTAAAACTGTGATTGGTTGTGGTTCTGAGCAACTGAGTTTGGGCATTTCTGAAATAATGGAAACAAAGGAAAACAGTGGTGGGGCAGCATGTAGAAATTAAGATTTCTATTTAGAAAATCTTGAGCTTAATATGTCCATTGTATTTCCAAAGAAAGGTGAATGTACAAGGAAACACTTAGATATATAAGTCTGAAACTCAACAGAGGTTAAGAATGGAGATGTGCACTTAG